AGCAAGCGAGTGCAGGTGGATGGGCCACTGGGCTTTGACCTTGACAGGGTGGCAGATGATGTTTCCCAATCTTTGGGCAATGGAGCCCCAGGGAAGTTTTTATAAAGGGTACACATAGTCTCAAGTCCCAAATCTTACTTCAGGCTAAATAAATAATGCACTATGACTTTTCAGATGCATATGGGTGCTTTGTGATTGATAAAATACCAATATTTGAAAGTGTCTTGAATTTATAGTTTTGTTAGTTTATTTTTGGGTGTGGATGTGTGTGCGCATGTGTGTTTAGAATGTTCTTCATTAACAGACACTGACAGCATAACCAGCTTTCATCTGGTGATTCATGAAACTTTGTGGTTGTTAAAAGTGATCTTGTTTGACAGAAGAAAGGCAGCCCTGGAGGAAGCGTATTTTTTGTCTGGTACTACAGCCTACTCCTACTGGGGATACCAAAGAGAGAGCTGGGGAGATAACCAAAATGGAATGGGACAGAAGGAATATTTCTCTATATACTAATTACTACTCAGCTTGCAGGAGGGAGCTGCCAACCAAGAACCAACCAAATAAGAGGATTGGTGCTTGGAAGACAGGTTTTAGGTCCTCTAAACCTACGACCTACCCTGAGCAGGAATCCTTTATGGAACCTTTTGGAAAGGTGAACATCTAGCTTAGCCCCCATACAACAGGAAGCTTATTATTAGGCAAAATCCAGATCCTTGGACCCCAGCCTTGGTGTTTCTGGTTGGATAGGGCTGAGGTGGGGCCTTTGACATTATGTTCCAGCTGATTCTGATGTCCGCCAGTGTTGAGACACAGGACTACCACAAAAGGACAAAAATACTCCATTACAATGCGTTTTGTTTGTTAAGTGCTCACTAATGCATGAACAGTGTCATGATGAGGCCCCTGTGGGCTTTATGTTTACACCCCTTTTCTTACTTCTCACACCCACCCTTGTAGATAGATCACTATTTAAAAAAAGAAAAAAAAACCAAAAACAAAAAACGAATGAATTAAGGCCCAGGGAAGTGAAACCAATGTACTGGCTGGGGAGTGACAGTTGGAACCCCAATGCACAAATGAAACCAGGGAACACTGGGTGTGACAAGCTCTTGAGGAGGGACAAACAGTTGTGACCTCCAACCCACAGTCGAGACTGGTGAACATAAAACGGGCACTAGCCCATTGGTAAGAGACTGATGCTGCTGAAATCAGGGGAAGGGGTGCGCTCTGTAAGAAGCTTCTGACACACTCAATTTCTTTGTGTATCCAGTCTACCTTTGGTGCTGGAACAGAATCAGTTTAAAGCTTGTGTTCTGGAGCTAAGAGACCTGGGTTCACTAACCAAGGGGCTTCGGCATGTTACTTGATGTTTTTAGGGCCTCAGTTGCCTCATCAATGTGGAGGTAATGCAAAGTGGTACCTACCTCTTCCCATGAGTTTAGCTATCAACATCAACATTTATGGCCCACCTGCTCTGTGCCAGCCCTATGCTGGGGATACCACTCTTTAGGAGCTGATAGAAGCCCATGTCAGGTATTCAGAGGAAGGAGGAGGACAAGGGTGTCAGAAGTTCACATCATTCTTTATGTGAAGGAGTGTAAGACCAGGGAAGCCAGATGTTTGCATGCTCTCTCCTGCACTGCATAGTAGATGGATGCCTCACTGGGTTCCTTCAGTGGCTGGTGGTGAGCAGGAAAATGGTAGCCACCATTTCTCATGGCTGCTGCAGTGTATGACAAAAGATTGCTTCCAGTATAGCAGCCCACCCCCTACATTGCCTGCCTTGTCACTGAGGAGTAGACTTCTCATTAGGAGATACTCTTCTTTTGGTCACAGGGATCCCAAAGATCACTGGGACTTGGGTTGTTTCAGACGCCACATGGAAGTTCAAATCCACTCTCGGAAGGGCCCAGAGAAAGGGATGGCTCCTATGGTGAGGACAATCATGTGATATACTCTCCTCTATGTGGGGCTTTGCTGCCTGTGTGCAATGACATCTTGGTCCACGGGACTTCTGAGATCTCTAAACCTATAACCTCCAAGTGACCTTCCCCTGGGGAGGAGCAGAACTATCATGAGCCAGTCTAGGACTATTTAGAGATAAGTCACACTCTTCTATGAAGTCTGCTCTAGGTTGGAGTTGAATACAGGTAGACATCCCTAGGAGTATGCCTCCTCTCTTTTGGCCTCTCATTTTCCTGGCTACTCCTCCAAAATAATGTCTTGTGAGAATGGTGTGAGCCAACATTAGACACCTGCTGTGTTTTACCTAAAGGTAACACCTTCTGCCTTGGATGTGGGGGAGGAGCACATTTTATATCTCCAATTCTATTGTTCTTTATGCCTCATTGTTCTTTCTTCACACCCCCTTTTCAGGCAAATCATTTTGCTCCTTGATTTGATAATTCTGTGGGTGAGCTCGAAGAGAGCAGAAACTGAGCCCTCGCTGCTGTTGACAATTATAGTTCTTTTTCTCAGAACTCCTTTCTTTTTTGTAAATGCCTACCAGGTGCCCCCAAGTGAAAGATGATACTTGTTTGTTTGGTAAAGGCCTCCAGATAAGAAGAGTCAGAACCAACAGCTCTCCAAAGAGAAGTGATTTCCTTGGCCACTGAGTCACCACACTAAATGTTCATCCTGGCTCACTGGCTGAAATGAGTCAGTGGTCCTTCTAGAACTCCCTTTAGCACAGTGTTTCAAAGAAATCTGTGATCGAAATTGCAATTCATTTTTTCTTCACCACAGCTGACTATTTTGCATTTTCCCAAGGTGAAACTCAGCTTCTTTTCCGGTGTTGAAAAGAGTTGAAACTTAAAGTGGAGGAGTAAAAAAAAAAAAAGCCCATCTACCAAAGAGAAGTCCAAAATATATCATTGTAGTGTAGGAAAATGCTTCTCAAAATCAGATTCTAAAACTGAGTGAGTGGTTTGCTGTGTGCAGCTCCTTCTTTTCCCAGACATTTACTGAGCACCAAGTATGTTCCAGGTACTAGACTTGGGAACATAGCAGTGCCTAAGGCTGGCCAGGAGCCTGTCCTCATAGAGCTCACAGGGACCTAGACAAGTGCACAGGCACTTATAGTCCAACCTGAACTAAACCCAGGAAGGCATCCTGGAGGAGCCAAGCTCAAAACTAAGATAAACCAAGTAACTTAACCAGGTGAAGGGAGTAAAGAGGGAAGAGCATTTCATTTTTCATCGTACTCATGCTATTAAGCATCTTCTTATACCATGTTTTGGGTTAGTTTGACTGTTTGGATGCCGAATGTGTACATGTTGTTACTTCAAGATAGAGTAACTACTTAAGGACAAGAGTCTGTGGTACTTTCCCACTCATCCTTATCAGGGTTTAGGGCAGTGCTAAATACTTTGCAAGGAAGGACACTAGCACATATTATGCCTACTTTGTTCCCATCAGGTTGTGTGCAAGTGATTGTTCAAATTACCATGTTATGGGGCATCTGGGTGGCTCAGCTGGTTAAGCCTCTGCCTTTAACTCAGGTCATGATCCCAGAGTCTTGGGCTCAGGCCCCAACATCAGTCAGTAAAGCTCCCTGCTTGGCAGGGAGTCTGCTTCTCCCTCTTCCTATACTCACTGCCCTTCTCCTCCCTTCCCCCACTGGTGCATACGCACGCGCGCTCTCTCTCTCAAATGAATAAAATCTTTAATAAATAAATCACCACGTTACTGAAAGAAATTGGAGGTAGTATGATTAGGGCAATAATATCCACGACCCAGAAATCAGGATGATGAATAGTAGTGTGATTTTGGGTGAATTTCAAAACTGCAACCAGGCCTTGATTTCTCCGTCTGTGGAGTGAAGGAATTCCACTACAGTGCCTCCCAGCTCTGTAATCTGCTTTCTCCTGTGGGCTCACAGGGCCATCTGGTTGTCGTTGAAGCGGTAGGAAGATAACTGCAAAAGGCGGTTCAGGGGTTAAGTCAGGAAACCCAGCATGGAAATGAAACCACAGCCCCGAAATGCTGAAGTGCTAGGCCAGTTGGAGATCAAGGAAAGGATGTTCCCTAAGAAATGACCCCAGCGTGAGCCCCAGAGCCTCTATCCTGTTCTCTTTTCCCAGTGCCAGGCATGCACAGCGCAAGTTGCTAACTAGGGAGGGACGGTGCTCGCTGGGGCTTTGTTCTGAGGGGCCAGTGGAGCTTTCACTCCAAAGCATCAACACCTGCGGTCTTGTAACCTAGGCTACAGAACAGCCAGTGGGTACGCAGAATGCAAGTTGATGAGCTAGACGGCGCTGGGTACAGACGCTCCCAGCAGAGCTCACTGCTAAAAACACCTATTTGAGGACATCATGTACCAATTCAAGGGTGGCCCCCCCTTTTTTCTCTCAAATTTTTCAAAACAGGAAGAAAGTTTTGTTGAACTGCAGACACCAATAACCTACGTCCTTCTAGAGAGATCTTTCTGGAAGCCATCCAAGAAAGCTACCTTCACTAAGGGATGCTAATCACTTTTTTTTCCCTCTTTCTTTCTTCTTCTTTTTCTTCTTCTTTTTTTTTTTTTTCCTCTCTGAACTTCTGGTAGCATTTCGGAAGGTTGGCACAAGGCCATCTGAAACCACAGTGGGGTGTTAGGTAATCATGTTCTCATTAAAATGCTGTTCTGTGGTTTAATTTTCAACGGTTTCTTTGCAGCTTGGAAACACACATACTATATTTTGGAGGCAAAGAGAGACTGTTACAAGGCGAAAAGGTGGGAAGATGGGCTGACCATAAGGTAGTTCCTTGTGTGTTCCCAGAAAAGAAAGAGCTGTTTTCATTCTAGAGAAGACAAACAGTGGAAGGTAGCACTCATGGAGCTTCCTAGAGACTGGTGATATTTAAATGACCCTGGGAACAAATGCCTCCAAAACACCCTGAGGTTTGAAAGTATCAAGTAGTGTCTATCAATGACCCTTTGCCCACTTAGTTGTTGTGTTGAGCATTTTATTGAATGTCTACCAAATGTCTACTAGGCACTGGATTAGGTCTTAAGGACAGAGAGATAGGAGCCAGCGCCCACAAGGAAATTGCCACCAGTTGGAGTGGCCGAAGAGTAAGTGGGCAATGCAGTATGGGGTAAGTGGGTCCTGACTCTCCTCATCTTCACCTCTGAGGAATTTCCATTTGGGCCTATGAATTTTATCAGTGAAGACAGCAAACTAAAGCCCAAGGTTATCATTTCCTTTTTAGAAGAGAGGATGTGAAGCCTCCAAATGTTCCTATTAGATAGTCTTCTACTACCCCTGACTTCTTCTTTCATCCAACCCAACCTGTTCCCACCTGACCAGCTCTGGCTCTGTGACCGTGACAGGTCCTTGACTTGGCCACTCCTCCTCTGCTATTTGTACATTCCCAGCAATAGGATCTTGGCTTCCTTCCTAGTTCTTCAGTTTGGCTTTCAGCTCCCCTGGGGCCTCATGGAAACTACACTGGCCCCTGTCCTATCCTTTCAGAGGGATTCACAGAAAAGTATCCAGAAATGCTGTCCAAAATGATGAAGATGGCTGCAGGTAAATGGAATTGAATAAATTCAGCCCCAGGCCAATTGGACTGTAGGCCTGATTTGAGCATTTCAGATCAGATGAGCATTACCAATCAGACCTATTCTAGTAATAGGTGCAATTCTCCCTGTTCTAGAAATGGGTGAAAAAAAAATCCATCTTTGGATCTCTTTTCCCTCCAACATCCTTCCACTTTCTTCCCCTCTGCCCTCACTGGTTGTGCTGTTTCTCTTTTTCTCCCTTTTGTTTGACAGTGTTATTGTATGTATTTTAGGGGAGAAATTTGCATAGTTACTTTTGATATTTGCTTTGGGGGATTCAGGCTTTCACAAAGCACCTACAATCGGTTGAAATTTAGAAGTGCCTTGTTTTTCCTCTCTCAATCCTTAAATACTTAACTGAAATGAGACATTCTTGCAGGGATCTTCAAAAACGTTTAAAAACCAACAGGAAGGCTTTGGATTTAATTAAAAACCCTCTCACTGGCGAGCATTTTCGAGGCTAGTCAAATCTGCTGATGCTTCACTGGAGGTTTTTATAGAGACCAGAAGGTGAGCGTGGAGTGAGATGGACTGATTTAATGCTAGTTTCTCAAAACACTGACATTAAAGCAGGTAAAAATCAGTGTGGTTTTCTTCATGGGGGGTTTCGCTTTGACTTTCAACATTGAAATCTGAGGGTTTGATGAACCCAGAAATGCAAAGTGAAACTTGGGAGTGTGACTGCTCATCAAGCCAAACAGACTTCTATGAGTGGAAGCTGTGTTCCAGGTAGTTTCTTATCACCATTTGTTACGTGTCACCCTCTACTCGTTACAAAAAAAATAGTCCCTTGTCTCTAAGGAACTTTTATTTTAATATTGTCAGTCAGCCATATAGCAAGGCATTTTCTCATTTTCCTCAAAGTTCCCACTCATAGGATTACTTTATTTAAACTGGAGGTGCCATCTTTGGAGAGTGGATTGTAGGGACTTGATGCCTGTGTCTTCCGGAAGATTGGAGGAAAGGGAGTAGTGAGAGCTCCATCTAACTTTGATTGTTATCCCCTCTGGAATAGGGGCCTCCTCCTCTTGCCCTCCCCCTCCTTTGGCTGTGGCAGCTCTGGAAAGCAATGGAAGGGCCAGAAAATGTGGAAGGGAGGCCTTGGGCCGCAGAAAATACATTTTTCTCTCTTGCCACTTTTGACTTGTTGGGCTCAAGTAAATCAATAACATAGCATAATGGAAGCCTACCCACCACATTGCTCTGGTGTATACGTTCAACATCTTGAATGCTGAATTCACTCAGATTCCTGAAAATAAAAAGTAGAAAATGTACAGAAGAACCTTTGTTTTCATAACACTTTAAATGGATTTAGTGGTGTGGATCAAATGGATCAAAATTGATGTCTGGGTGTTTGCCTATGCAGTGAACGCAGCCGTTAGGTCCTAAAATCCCGTGAATCAAGGTACCTGAATGGAAGAGGCGCTCTTTCTCTACACCTCTCCCTGCCAATTGCTTGCTTACTGTTGTTCCAGTTTACCTGAGGACGGAACAAAATCGGTGATTGAATAGCAAGGTGCTATTGTGTGGCTCTGAGAGTTACACATGCTCAGAGTTTCAGATGTGATTGACAGAGGAGTGTGTGAATCAAACCCCTTGTTTGGTTTCGCAGTCACAAAGATCCCTTTCCCTTTGAAACCCAAGAAGGTCCCCTTCTCTGGACCTGTGGAGGAAATTAGGCAGCAAATAACCATGAATTAAAAAAAAAAAACAACTATTAAAACTTTAATCAATGTAGCATTTATGGGGCATTTAGGAATTTTAGGATGGCTTTCTTAACCTACCTTCTGAATATAGCCACCTATAGAGAGCACCAATTCTAACAGGTATATCATCTTCTCTAAATTGTCTGATCTGACTGTGGTTATTATTTAAACTTTAAATAAGTTGATTTTGATCTAATTAGATGATATTAAGAGGAAACTGACCCAGTGATCAAAGGCTCTCTTCCTCTCTCTTTTCCTGATAATAATTCAGATCAGAATTCTGCATAGAGATTAGTGACTCTTTGGAACAAAGATTTTGTGTTTGGCTCTCAGAAATGGCTGTGCAAATATTCAGTCTGAAAGCCCTTTTAATGGCTGAAGATGGAGGAGTTGACAATCCTGGAATGGCCAGGTGGAACTGAGCTGGGATGAGTGGTTTCTTGGCAGTGAGCCCATTCTCATGATGAAAGCTGGGAAAATTTGCTTGGGGAAAGTAACCCAATGATATGAAAGGATTAGGCAGGCTTACGTTTAGCAAACTGTAAACCATGAATCTGAATGGTGTACCACTTCTCCACACAGGCAACTGCTTTGCTTATAAAATAGAGCAACCACAATTAAATGAGAGGAGAAACTAAGGAGAGAAGGGTGTTTCAAAGTGATAGCGCACCTACAGAAACCAAGTTTGCCATCAGTAATTCCTGATCCGTGCTGAGATCAGAGTCATCTCAGCAAAGTGAACAGCTCCCTGACATCACCCCAAAGACAGGTGGAAACTTCTACCACCTCAAACTTGCACAGACTTCAAGTTCACCTTCCATCCCTTGCTCCTATTGGTCCAGCCACTTAATGATTTCACCTCGGAATACTTAGCTATTAGTGACACTAATTAAAACCTGCCTTGTTTGTAAAATGCTGTGAAGGCAAATTGTTCCAAGAGCTATCAATTCTGGTAAAGGCCATGTCAGCTTCAGTTATGTGCTCATAAATGTAAATCCAACCTGGTCAATAATCTCCAGGGATGGTCTGAATTGCACAGCTGGCTTTTTAGAAAATATGTGTGGAGGAACATGAAAAGATTGCTGAAAATGCCTAAGTAAGTTTAAATAATAAATGGAACTATATGAGCAGAGGGAAAGCAGAACATGGGCATCCGATATGTACTGTATTATACAAAGGGGTGATTTAGGTTGGGTCAGCAAGGTATTGGGGAGGAGGTTATTGAAATAAGAAGTCAGCACAAAGCATAATAAGATTGACACAAATTCCCAGCTGTGCCCGCTCCAGGTCCTTTTTTCTTTTGCTGGCTGCCCTCCTGTCATTACCCCTAGAAGCACTGGGGAAATAAAGGTGGAAGATGACTTTGCCAGTCACCAGTGTGTTGGGTCTATGGACTTTTATCTTAGGACTCCTTCTCCAGGATATTATTTCACATAATACAAATATGAAACTTATGGATAAATCGTCAAAACATCATTCATTGAGTTATTCAGCAAATGTTTAGTAGGTGTGTGCTTTGTGCCTGGCATTGTTCTAGGTAGTGGGGATACAGGGGTGAAAAGACAACTCAGTGAGCTTGTTTCAATCAGGAAGACATGCAACAAACAAGTAGACAAATGTACATGATAATGGCAATAAGGATAATAGAACAGGGTAAAATTTGTGACATCATGGATGGACCTAGAGGGTATCATACAAAGTGAAATAAGACAGAGAAAGATACTGGCAATCTTTCATTAAGACATTCATAATCTGTTTGTATCAACCACCTGAATCATCAGTCTGGGCTATACAGGTTTTTTTGGTTTTTTTTTTTTTTGGCTTCTTTTATCTTTTCCTATTTCTTTTTAAAATATTTTTAATTTTTTTCCTATTTTATTAAATTAGGAAATCATATCTCAATTAGAAGGTTTGGGAAAAAGCACATATATTTGCTTCTGGATATCTTAGTCTTACACAGATCCAGAAATTATGGTGAGAGTCCTCTCTGAAGACCGCATCTGATGTTTGTCAGATGCTCAGTGGATGAGCTTATCACACTTAAATGTGGGACAGGGGATGCTGCAAACCAGGAGATAATGGCAAACAGATTCCTAGTCTATTCTTGGCTTCCATTTGGCTCTAGAAAGTATTTATTTATGTCTTATTGCCACATTCAGGTGTGTGTTTAAATATATGAAATAATACATATAGTAGGTTTTGCTTTCTCATAGTGAGGAAAGCCATTAAATGCTGGCAATGAATCAAAAAAAATTATTATCATTATTTGTATTTTTGAGCACATGATTCAGTCTTTTAAAAAAATTCCAGATATCTTATCCTTCACATGTCCATACAGGTTGAGGCAACTGATAATGCTGAATATGTCAATGACATATACGTATGGCAAACCACTGGGAATCATTGAAATGATCATGAAGAAATTATTGTTGTTTATTTTGATTAATTTTTTTTTCATTTTATTTAAACTAATTCACCCCACCCTGCCTCTGACAACCAGCGATCTGTTCTCAGTAGCTATGAACTTGGGGTTTTTTTTTGTTTTGTTTTTGTTTTTAGAAAATTCCACATATAAGAGAAATCATACAGTATTGTCTTTTTCTCACTTATTTCACCTAGTGTAATGCCCTTGAGGTCCATCCATGAAGAAATTATTTTTATCTCATCTTTTGTTTCAAAACCTCCTTCCTTGTGAGTAGCCAACATATGTCATTATCTATTGGTGACTGTAATTTCATAATGTTCCCACTTTTCACCATTTCCTCTGTGGTGGGTGCTGTGGTGTCCACTGCACAGATCTTCCTCCAGAAATGAAGGACTTATTCTCTGTCCCCCACACCTCCCAGTTGCTGGGAGTGCAACCGGAAGGCGGCTTGCAGCTGTCAGCCCTCATCAGCTCTTGTTGAAATGAAATGATGATGATAAAGAAAAATGCCTCACCCAAGGTCATTTCTCCTTCAAGGGGCTGACTGATCCGTGTGGGGGTAGAGGCTCCATTCCTTGTTCCAACTGGGGGACAACTCTGAAGGGTTGTCCCAGCTTCAGAACTCCCTGTGGGATGACTTAGGACTGAATCACAACTCAAATTCTCCCTTTGTCCAATCCTGCTTCCTTTCTCTCTTTTTTGTAAGTGTCGGTTTTAAGAGTAAGCCCTAATAAATGCCCTGCATGTTAACATGTCTCAAATCTGCTTCTGGGGGAAATCTGACCTGTGATAGCTGGCACCAGAAGACATGGAAGAAAGCAGTCACTAGAATTTGGGTCCAGTTTACATGCTGCTGTAATAAGAACCCCCATCACTGGTGGACATGGGGCACAGATAGCCCCTAATTTAGTGTGGTAACACCACTGAAACTCTTACCCGTGGTGGACTGGATTGATACACCGATGGAAGAAAGTGTGATGGCTCATGCAATGTATTAGGCTTTTCAGAAATAAGGGGGAAATGGTAACTTTAAGGATAGTGGAATTTGGTAGCTGTAACTAAACTTTAATCTGGAAACAGAACCAAAATCTGAGAGTCATTAAATGGTAGTTAAAATCTAAGTGTGAAATTCAAAGGGCCTCCTTGGTAGCATACAAAGAGGTTTTCATCTCCTTCAATAGGAGAGAATGGTGAGGATCTGGCCCAGGATCTAATTTTAAGAGTAATTAAGCTCTAAGAATGTATTGAAATCCCCCGCTAAGGCTGGTCTGCTATTTTAAGGCTAAGATCTTGGTTGGGAAGAAATGGGGCCCTGAAACATGGGCTTGGGACACCTAGATTGATGCATCCAAATATCTTGAATCCTGAGAATTACCTGAGCCCTCTGAACCTGCACAGGTGGCCCAAATCATCTCCTCTGGGGTAATGCTTCACATTTGCCTGAAGATGACACAGAGACAGAAGGGAAACTGTAAGACAACATGCATTTCTTCCTTCCCTTCCTTTTCTGTTCATTAAATCAATGACTAGGGCTAAATCGCAGCAGAACGCAGGTGAGGACATGCTGGTCTGGTCCAGGGAGGGAAGTGCAGGACCTAGCCTACTTGTACCAACAAGATCCAGGAGAGTGCTGGACGCTGAGGGTGCAGGACTGAGAAGGGCAGAAAATACATTTGATAAAAGGGAGTTTATCAACAGGGGAGCACTCTCCTGAGATATAGGATTTAACATATTGGAAGGGCCCCTAGCAAATGGTACAAACACATGGCTAGGATGGCTCTTAGAAGCTTGGGAAAAGTGATGGTCTACACTAATTGAAGCAGAAATGACAGAATTTCTGTGGCAGATGGTGGAAGAAGGAATTAAAAGGCTCAGAGAAGGGGACACATGAGAGTGGATATACTACATAAGGGTATAAAATCCCCACAATGATTATGTTCTATGGAAGGGCCAGGAGGACACACCATTTCCCAGAGCAATAAAGAATGCCAGTGCCTCATTAAGAAGCTCAGTGGTGTTTGTGTTCTATGTTCCAGACCTGACAACAGGAGATAACATTACAGAACTGTGTTCACAGATATCAGGGATCAAAATATCCAGAACAATAGAGGCTTTTAGCAATGCTTTACTGTCAGAAGCCAGGTGGGGAAAATTATTGTAATGAGCAGCAAGGTCAAATCGGCATCCAAGGAGGCCACCTGACCCACAGGTCATTGTAGAGATAGTTACTAGAGCTCAATGTCTATAGGCGCAAAAGAATTGTGCAGCCCATAAGTGTGCTACTCTAAAGGAATCACAGATGAATGACCAGGGCCATCATTTCAATAAAAATACACAATCCCTTACCCAATTTCTGGACATGAGTCAATTTTTGAACCAAGAACCTATCACTGAAGGAGGCCTCCAGGAGGAAGGATCCTGAAACACCTCTGTATGTTCAGAAATGAATTCCTCAGTCCTTCCCCAAAGGGACAATGGCCACTTACTCTGATGACTTTGCATTGGGAAAAGTGGAATGCTCAAACTTTTCCAAAGACTGTTGAACACAGAGCCAGAGTTGACACTGATACTTGGAGACCTAGAGCATCATCCTAGACCCTCTTTGAGAGTGGGGGTATATGAAAGCTAATAATAAGTGGAGTTCTGGATTGGGTATGGCGCACAGTGAATTCCCTGAATCTATGGATCCACCTGATTATTATTTCTCCAGTCCCTCCATGTACAATTAGAGTAGATGTACTTAGTAGTTGACACAACCTCCACATTGGATTCTTGGCCTGTGGGGTAAGAGATGTAGTAAAGTTCAAATGGAAACTCCTGAAATGGCCTCTTTCCACCCTGTGAACTGACAAGAGAGAAAAAGAAATAATATTGCATTCTGGGGATAATAGCAGGTATTAGCACCAGTCTTAAAATATAGCAGATGGTGGTCCCAATCATCTCACAACTAATAGACTGACCCAGCACCTGAACACAGCAGATCAATCCTGAAAGATAATAGTGGACCACTGTAAACTTAACCAACTACTGGCCCCAACTGCAACTTGTTTGTTGAACAAATTAGCATAGTTTGAGGTAGTCATTCCTCTGGCTATTGCTTTCTTTTTCATCCCTATTGGAAAAGAGGATCAGAAACAGCTTGTATTGAAAGGACAAGAATATCCACTTGTGGTTTTGCCCCAAGGCCATGTTAATTCTCTTGCCCTCTGTTATAAAATGGTCTGAATTATCCGGACATGCTATAGAATATTACTTTGGTCTACAGTATCAATAGTATCATGCTAATTAGGTTGCATAAGTCTTACTTTGGTAAAATGCATACACTTCAGAGGGTGGGAGATAAACCCCATAAAGATTCAGGTACCCACCATATCAGTAACATATTTAGAGGTTCCTTCTCTGAGACATGCCAGGATATCCCTTCAAAAGTAAAGAACAAATTATTGCATCCTATACCTCCCACCACAAAGAAGAAAACACACCATACAACTCTTGGTAGGCTTCTTCTGGTTCTGGAGGCAGCATATTCCGTATCTAGGAGTACTGCACTAGTTCATACAGTAGATGACATGGAAGGCTGCCAGCTTTGACAGGTGCTCAGAACAGGTACAGGTTTAGGCCATATAACCAAGTAGGCCCTATGGTATTGGAGATATCAGTGGTAGAAAAAGATGTTTGTGGAGTTTAGAGCAAACCCAGTAGGAAAATGACAATATAGACCCTTAGATTTCTAGAACAAGGCAATGCCTTGGTTATTGCCATCTGCAGTGAGGATGATATACCTTCTGAAAAATTACTTGTGGGGTCTAATAGAGATTTTATTCTTAGTCATGACAGTACATCAAGTGACCATATGGCCAGAAGTACCCATAGTGGACTGAATTCAGTCAGACTTCTAAGGTTGAGGAGGCCTAATAATAGTCTATAGTAAAATGAAATTGCTACATCCAGGATTGAGCATGAATAGGAGCAGAGAGGGCACAAGCAAACTGCAGAGAAAGGGAATCCAGAGCCCCAAGTCATTTACCATGGTTGCACCAGTGCCATTCCCCCAGCTCCTTTTTTTTTTTTTTTTTTTGAAGACTTTATTTATTTGTTTGAGAGGGAGAGAGAGAGAGAAAGAGAAAGGGAGTGCACAAACCAGGGAGGGGAGGTCCAGAAGGACAGAGTGGGAGGGACAGAGGGAGAGGGTGAACCAGACTCCCAGCTGAGCAGACTCCTTGCTGAACAGAGAGCCTGACTCAGACTCCATTCTAGGATCCTGAGATCTGGACCAACGGCAGATGCTTAAATTCCTGAGCTACCCTGAGCTTCCCAGGCACCACCCCCTTAGCTCACTTCTGTGACTATATAGACTATGACTTCTCTGACTATGACCAGCTGATAGAAAAGGAAAAACTCTGAGTTTGGTTTGTGCATAGCTTGACTTGGAATGTTTAAACTGAATATCATGGTGATTGCACTACGTCCTCCTCAGGGTGGCCTTGAGAGAAATGGTGATGGAAAATTCTCCCAATGAATGGGCTTCTAGGGTACATCTTTACATAGAAGCACAAGTGGCCTCAAGGTTAGAATACATTCAGACCCTACGTCAGTGGTGAATGCCTTATTCAGGGGCCTAGAAGGAGAAAGATGGGAAGGTCAGAAACAAGGTTGTCTGGCATATATTCATGTGGATAGACATATGGGAGTAGGAAATAAGGGAGGAGATCTTTGTTTTTCATGATAAAGCTCACAGAGGGCATTCAGTGTGGAAGAAGCACTAAACAACCAAGCAGACAAAGCAACTTGGTCAGATGACATCAGCCAGCCTCTGTCATCACCTCCTCCAGTGTTGGTCCAATGGGGCATGAATAAAGGTGGCCAAGATGGAGGCTGGCATGGACCCAACAGCATAGCATAGACATTCATACTTCTTATCCCCAGAATTCTGGGCTTTATGGCTGAGAGATCCTAGCTCCTAAAGGGGAGCATGAACACTTCTGTCGGGGGACAAAGCAGTAGTCCTACTGAACTACAAGCTGTGGCTGCTATCTGCACACTTCAGGCTCCTTGTGCCAATGGATCAGCAGGTAAGAGGAGTCGTCATCATCTTGGCAGGGGTAACTGGTCCTAATCATGAGGAAGAAGTAGGAATGCTACTACACAATGAGAGCAAGGAGGAATATGGCATTCAGGTGATCTACCTGAGTACCTCTCTGAACTTCCTTTCAACTTTTATGGTAACTGGAGAAGTTCAGCCACCTTGGCCTGGGACAGGCATGGTGACCATTCGCTTGTGAGGGTCTCTGTCATGCCACCAGCAAAACCAGTGAGACTAACTGATATGCTAGCAAAGGGGAAGGGGAACCCAGAACCAGTTGTAGAGATGGAAAATTCAGTTACAGCCCTGAGAGCAGCTGCAGATTGGGGCTATAGTTTATCTAACTAAGTTTCCCCTGGGGGAGTGTCAGAGTTGCTCCCAGAGCAATGTGAAGAAATGGATCTGAGCTGAGCAAGGGATGGAGTGTGCTGGATACCAGGATGTACTTCCCAGATCTTCCCTTAGCGCTGAAGGACAAATTCCTCTTCCTGCTGGGAATGCGGCTAGAAGATGGCTCTCAGCTTTTAGCCCCTTTGGGTGCTTGACTTGGCTAAAGAAATTTCCCTGCCCAAGAGACAACTTATAGCCAATAACTGACCCATGGGGGGTATGAAATTTCAGTCCCATCTCCTCAATTCAGTTAAGCCCCGAAGAGGCTTAGTTATGTTAACTAAGTTAGTTAAGACTTGGTTAGTTAACTAAGTAAATACTTAGAGTTAGTTAACTAAGTCTAGATTAGTTAAGCTAGATCCATAGCTCTATGGGGGATCGCTGAGGACATTGTTGGTATACTGCAACTCAGATTCTCTCTCTGCTCAATCTTGCATCTTTTCTTTCTCTCCAACAGGTGTTGATCCCAAGCCTATGCCTTAATTATAGAATACATATCCTGTGTGCTAGTCTCCCGCTCAGAGCCTGCTTCCTGGGGAAACACCTTCAAAACCACCAAGGCCTCAAGACATGTTGCTGATGGCCAACTGATCTCTTTGAGGGAAGCAGTGAATAGACTGGTGTTCAGATGTGCTATCTTTAACTCACTGGAAATTCCCTCCTTGAAGCACAGGGATGGAACTTCGCCAAAACTGATGCGAATTTACTTTCCCACTTTACATCAAAACTCACAAAATAAGTGTTAGAAATCATCTTCATATAGAACAGGGATTCTTCAGTGATAAACCATCGTCAGATGGACTGTATCTCAGTGAAGAGAGTCTTGCAGATAGTGGTAATGGCTGCACAACACTGTAAATGTATTTAATGCCATTGAATTGTATGCCTAAAAATTGTTAAAGTGGCAAATTTTATATGTGTATTTTTACCATAATCAAAAAAGATCAGTAATGCAACACACCCCAAACCACCGACTTGGGTAAATGGGTGAATTGTATGGTATATAAATTACATCTCAATAGAGCTGTGTCAAAAAAAGAGGCTCGGGTGAGTTCTTCTCTTTCATATATGTGCCCTCTTGCTGCACTGAATTTTTTCCATATAGAAAGTGAAATATCTATACAGACATGATACCAGCTTTTTGCTATAGTATACTACTGATATTATGCAACATTTACCAATATTCTTTCATAGAGAAATCTTGGTGATAGTTATGCTTCTTTCCCAACATAATATTATCATTACCTTTTTTTTTTTAATTTTATTTTTTATAAACATGTATTTTTTTCCCCCCCAGGGGTACAAGTCTGTGAATCTCCAGGTTTACACACTTCACAGCACTCACCATAGCACATACCCTACCCAATGTCCATAACCCCACCCCCCTAACCCCCCTCCCCCCAGCAACCCTCAGTTTGTTTTGTGAGATTAAGAGTCACTTATGGTTTGTCTCCCTCCCAATCCCAACTTGTTTCATTTACTCTTCTCCTACCCCATTAACCCCCCATGTTGCATCTCCTCTCCCTCATATCAGGGAGATCATATGACAGTTGTCTTTCTCCGCTTGACTTATTTCGCTAAGCATATCATTACCTTTTTAACTGGTTTTACAAACTTCCTGGCAATAGTGTGTCATATCCCTATTTTTTTTTATACATTTTTTTTTAAGATTTCATTTGTTTATTTGACAGAGAGAGAGGGAACACAAGCAGGGGGAGTGGGAGAGGGATAAGCAGGTTTCCTGCTGAACAGTTAGCCCAATATGGGGCTCGATCCCAGGACCCTGGGACCATGACCCTAGCTGAAGGCAGACACCCAACTGAGCCACCCAGGCACCCCTCCCTATTTTCTATGAAGAGTGCCTCCTTTATCTGTAGTTTTGGTTTCTCCATCACTTTTAGCAATAAAATCTATCAGTTTTGTGGTGGGAAGCCTTTACAATATGAGTAGTTGTTCTGGAAAAATTTTATTGTTCTATCAAAGAAGTCATTGTACTTTGTGGAAAAATATCACTGAAGTTTTCATGGTTTCCTGCTGTCATTTTTATAATGGATGTCACCTTGGAGAGCTAGGGACAAATGCGTCACCAGTCCACTACAATCCAGTTTTCAGATTTTTCTGTTCATACTTCCTATTCTTACTGACTTCCATTTTTGTTAGCTTGATTATCATAGTCCTATTCTTACTTCTCCCAGCACATATTGCTTTACCTCCCTACATTTGTTCTTGAATCTGTTCTATATATGTAATAAATTATCTTGAGTGATGATACATACATAAGTATTTTCATTAGTACCACTTTTGAGTCATTGATCTGTTTTTGTCAATTAGGGATAATTATAATATTAATGACTGAAAGTACAAATTCAATAAGCAAGAACAATGACATAATGTTAGCTGAGACAAAATGTACTTACACCATGTAACTGAACATTGGCTAAATTGAGCTGATTTGATACTGGGATAACCCAGGGGTTCAAAGAATCTCATTTTGGCAATGGCAACTGCTTTTTTCTCTTTCCTTCTTTTTTTTCCTTGTTCATTCTAGCTGGTTTCCGCATCCATCTCCTTCACCTTCTTATTCTTCTTTTCTTTCTCCATTCCTCTGTTTCTTTTTTAAGAGTTATGATAGTAAAGTGGAAAGAGACCTTGTGATCATTAAGTCCAATGACTTCATTTTACAGGTAAAGAAAGATATCCAGAGAAATTCAATGAACTAATACAAGTCAGAAGAATTAGACCTGGTCTCCTGGGTCCCTTCACTCATGACCAGTGTTTTTTATTTTGGCAGAAAGCCCTCTCCTTCAGCTTTTCTTCTTCTGGTCCTTTCTTGGCACTGACAGTGGTTGCACACATAGTGGTTAAGGTTGTTTGTTATAGGGCTAAGAAAGTGGCGTGTTGTGAGTCAAAACTTCCCTCCTCTGTTTCCTCTCATCCCTGCCCCTATAGAATATTCACTCACAATCTCTGTGCATACTCCTTCCAAATGTCAGACTTATACACTATGCCATTACCATTACCCTAATTCATGCTGTCATCGTCTTTCTCTTACACTATTTCTTCAACCTCTCTTCTAGTTGCTCTGCTAAATCCAAGTATCCATCCATCCTTCCATCCATCCATCCATTTTACTATGGCCAGAATGGTCTCATAATATCACTCTCATCTCTTTGATGTTTCTTAAATCCCTGCAAGATAAAGTCCATCCTTTGAACAAGGCATCTGACCACGGAGTCTCTTTGTGGTCTGGTCCCTGCTTTCCTGTCTGGTCTTATCTCCATCACTCTCTATATTAGTCAGACTAAGTTATGATATACTGAAAAAAAAGCTCCAGAATCTTAGTGGTTTAACACAACAAAAGTTTATTTCTTACTTAAAGTATGTTGCAAGTTTGGATGACTCTCCAAAGGGCCTGTTTTCTATGCATTGACTCAGAGACCCAGCTGCCATGACAAGTAGTATTTCCATTTCACTAGGTTTCCTCCACAATTGCCATGGAGGAGGTAGAGAGAGCTGGAGGGTGAGCATGAGTTCTGTGCTTCAGCCTGAAAATGACACCCACCTCCTCTTGGCCAGTTTTCACTTAATTGGGAAACTATTTCTGCTATGGTCCCTCCATGCAACTGGAAGCTCTGGAAATACCTGACTACTTATTTCTTGAGTACAAACTCTTTTAAAGCCTTCATGTCTTTCCACCAAGGCATTCCACTCTGCCTAGAATATCCCGTTTGCTGACCTCACAAACATAAACTCAAGTCTCTGTTTCTTCTAAGCCATAGCTTATTTTCTCAGGCTAACTTGGTGCTTATCCAATATTCCCACAGCATCTTGTAATTACCTCCACCATAGTTCTTTTTATATTGTTATAGTCATTTTCCTGGCCGTTACCCTCTAAATGGAAATTTCTTTGTGGGTAGAGAAAGTGTATTTTCATCTTTAAGTTTTCAGTTTTAATACAGTGGTACATAGAGGCTTTTCTTACCTGTGGTTGAACAAATAAATGAAAGATATGACTAAAAAAGTTTACAGTTTGTTTTGTCATATCACAGCCCCACCACTACCACCTTAGCCCAAGAAGCTAACTTCTCTTGCTTGGAAAACCACAAGACCCTTTCTGATAGTCCTCTTTCATTCTGCCCATATCAGCTCACTCTCTGCTCAGCAACCACATCATTATGAAACATGAATCTGAATGGGGCTTCCTACTTCCTTAGAATAAAATCCAAACATCTGAATTCCTTCCCATGACCCCCTTGCCTGCCAGTCTGGTCTGAGTGCACTCTCTATCCTGTGGCTCCCACAGTGGCTTCCTCTTAGTTTGCTGAACCCTCTAAGATTTTTCTTTCCCTTGGGCTTTCTCAAAGCTGGTTCCTATGCCTGGAATGCTCCTACTTCCTCTTCCTTCTTGGTTAATTATTTCTCAGTCTTCAGCTTAAATGTCACTTCTCTAGTTTTTGTTTTCTTTTGATTGAAAATGAGAAAATCCCACTCAAACTACCCTAAATAAAAAAGGGAATTTATTTGTTCTCATATCTAACAAGTATAGAAATAATGCTTGCCTTCAAGAAAGGCTTGATGTATGTCTCTGAGGACCCTATTTCTCTCAGTTACTGTACTGCTATAGCTCTTTCCTCATGGTCACAAAATAGCTATCATTGTTCTAGACTCACATCCTCACACTATCATCTCCAGGAGAAGAGAGTGGGCCTCTTCAGGTAACTCCCATTCAAGTACAGGGGTTCTGTCTCTCTCATTGACCTAAGTTGTATCACATTCCTATGTCTAAACCAATCACCTTGGGAGGGACATGAAGACAGTGGGGAGGAATTGGACTTGCTTATACCAACAGGACCCTTCCTTGGAGTTGAGGATGGGACCACATATAACCTAACAACATGTCTGCATATGAGGGAGAATTTATATTTCTAGAGGATAGAGAATATTTTGGGTGAGAAAAGTGGAAAATAAATGACTGGGATTCAACCAAAAAGAAATTCATGGGGCACCTGGATGGCAAGTCAGTCAAGCGTCTGCCTTTGGCTCAGGTCATGATCCCAGGGCCCTGGGATCAAGTCCTGCACTGGGCTCCTTTCTCAGTGAGGACCGTACTTCTCCCTCTGCATGTTGCTCCCTCTGTTTGTGTGTGCATTCTCTCTCTCATTGTCTCTGACAAACAAATAAATAAATAAAATCTTTTAAAAAAATCATCATTCTTGGGGCGTCTGGGTGGCTCAGTGGGTTAAAGCCTCTGCTTTCGGCTCAGGTCATGATCCCAGGATTCTGGGATTGAGCCCCCGAATTGGGTTCTCTGCTCAGTGGGGAGCCTGCTTCCCGCCCCCGCCCCCACCTGCCTCTCTGCCTACTTGTGATCTCTCTGTCAAATATATAAATAAAATCTTTAATAAATAAATAAATAAATAAAATCATTATTCTTTCTCAGAGGAGCCTTCATTGTTTATCCCCATCTAAGGAAGTCCCTTCTGTTATGGCTTCTGTTTTTTTTTTTGTTTGTTTTGTTTGTTTGTTTGTTTGTTTTAGAGAGGGAGGGAGAGGAAGGGCAGGGCACAGGGAGAGGGAGAGAATCTTAAGCAGGCCCCATGCCTAGTGCAGGGCCCTATGCAGAACTCACTCTCACAATCCTGAGATCGTGACCTGAGCTGAAGTCAAGAGTCAGATGCTTTAACTGACTGCACCACCCAGGTGCACCCATCTGTTATCTTGGGTTACTGAATCCTACTCACTTCCCTCAAAGCACCCACTACCGTTTATACTGTTTATTTATTTACCTGTTTGTAGTCTGAATCTCCCACTAGGCTCTAACTTCGTAAGAGCACATACCATGCATGATTTATTCCCTAGTGCTGAAACATACTAGAAAAGTCAATCAA